AAAATACGTTTTCTCTGTAATCATCGTTTCGGAGAGGCATCGCTCGAAACTGCATTTACCTCGCGCAAAAACTATTGACGCAAACGTGACACGAGTAGAAATAGATTCAGACCAATACAGAGTTACGGATGAAATTCCTGTCAAATAAATCGCATTAAATTTCTGGTATAATTAAACTGTCGCGGCGACGAGACTCGTGCTAACCGTGTTTTCGTTTGTCCAACTTGAACGTTCCAATTACGCCTCTCTGTCCGATTTTCGTTCGCCTCCTAGAAAACTCTAGGAAACGTGTTCGAAAAGCAAACGGAAAGTTTCGAACGAAAGTACGAACCCGATCCGAAAGAAACGCGATAAAAAGATAGATTTTTCGAAATCGTAGAGGTCCAACGTTTCGTATCGAGATAACGTTCAAGTGCTTCGACTAAAGTCCTACGCGGAGAAGTTATCGATCTCGATCGAAGATATTCGTCGCAATTTTCATTTTCGCCGAGAATTTTCTTCCCTCCGATCGCGTTCGAAATTGTAAATTCTTCCTCGGTGTTCGTCTCCTTCGGGACATCCTCTATAACGCGTTATTCGGTGTGTAGGGTACAGAACGAGCGCGCAGGAAAGCGTGGAGCGTCGTTGAGCGATCGGAAAAAATAGCACAGTCGTGTGTCGCGTGTCGCGAACGACGAACGCATTTTTGTTTGACCGTCGCGTAACTAGTATAGGCGTTCAGGTCTTTCTCAGTCGTTCGCCTGTACGTTGTTATGCGTGGGGTCGCTCGTGACCGAACGATCGAACACGATTAATTCTCTTATGCTCGAAGACAGGAAGAAAATAAGCAGGTCGAGCTAACTATCCGAAGAGTTCGATCAAAAAGTTGATCCATGTTATAGTTAGTAATTTCCTACGTTATCGCTTGTCGCACAAATATTTCCACCGTCTGCTCATCGTACTTTCCTTGCTTCGGATAAACGTCCGTTTCGCTTTATCCAGATAATCTGAATCGAGCGGAATTACGCGGAGTTAGAGAGTCGATTAAGTCTGATTTTATAGCATTTACCAAACGCTCGAAAGCGCGTTAACCTCTCGTGAATCTCTCGTGGATCTCTCGTGGATCGAACGAGAAGAAAGCGAGTCGCGTCTTTCAAACGCGAGCGTAGTCTTGCGCGAAACGTTTTAATAGATTCCGTAAGTGTGGAGGAATTTAGCGAAACTCGAGAATATTCGTTTCGAAGGAACCCTTTCGTGCTCGACACGGTATTTCGTAACAACGTTTATTTGCATTTTGCTTCGGTCAGGAAGCAAAGATTCGAATATCGTACTCCGAGTGCAGGGGAACTCTTCAACGTCAACAGAGTCACCACTTGTACGAGAAACGCGTGCAATGACGTATTTACGGGTTCGCCGGTTCACTAAAAAGGCATTTCAGGGCATTTCGAGCTTCCGCTTTCGAAACATTTTCCCCTCCAAGTGTCGCGGCTCGCCTCTCTCTCGCTTCTCCGGCGAATTGCTCTCATTTTTTACCGCGCCAGATACACCGAAACTTTATTCTATCTATCAAATTGGCCAACGCGACAGAAGATACAACTGGGAAATAAACGAACCGTCCAAGACTCCGTATCGCGTAAAAGACTAACGTCTTCTTCTACGACAATTCTATGGGAAATTTATTCCGAATCGATTCTACGCTCGTTATCTAACGCAACGAAATTTCTACGTAAAGCGAACAAACGGAATTTGAAACGCGAAGGAAATAATTCGTACAATTTTTTCAACGCCTCGCGTACGTTGCGAATGTAAAAGTGCAAACGCTTGTAAGACGAATCTTATACGGTTCATATTGTCGCAGTCGCAGAGATACGCTGAAGAACTCTCCAGGGAACTCGAGTCGTGGAAAGTGGCGAGAGAACACGGAACGGTGACGTTCCTACGTATAGACAAGAAAAGCAACCTGTGCGTTGAATTGCAACGATGTTTTCGCGAACATGTATGTATATATTATACATATAAACGATAGCAACGTTTGTTTCTATCGTAAATATCCTGTATGTCAATCACAACTGTCAGCAAGAATTGTGCGTAATAAAGCTTCGATCATTTGCCTGTACCGGGTATTCTCGAGCTTAGAAATGTCAAGACTTTCGTTTTCGACATACGAACAATTAAAGTTTCACCTCCGACGTGCTCCGTATAAACGTTGACCGACCGAACAGCTGATCGCGCGACACTATCGAACTTTGTCAGATTATTTATATTCGCGTTTACGCCGGATTATATGCGCGAACACCATGAACGAACCACTTCCGAAATCCGAAACTCGATACTTTGATCGTTTATGTCTCCAAAACGAAGTCACAAATTGCAAAATGTTAAAGAAGGATTTGTGCGTACACCTTTGGTTAAAGAATTTATGGCTTCCGCGATGTACATGGTTTTCTTTCTTTTTCAAAAATATTTTGTAGTATTGGATCATCTTTACGAGAAGCGATGCAAACAAGAAATGCTCTGAAAATTACTTTGCTCGCTTCTTATTTTATTTAGCTCGTTTGTAGCTAGAATCGAGACAGATTAACATAATAAAATAGTTTCCCTCGACGAATCCAGTATCGCTGGATTTTATAACGTTATAACGATGCTCGTGCATTTATTGCGCGGCAAAGATTAAAGCATTATGATAAGATAAAAGAAAAAGCAACCGGTAATCGGTAAAAAGAGTCTGTAAGCGGTAACGAATTCTGACGAATCGTTCGATATTGCACTATCGTTGTACCCTTTAGGCGCGTTAATAAACGCGAAGAGATAGGTCCAAGTACCAATCTTCGAACAACCAACGTTCCAATCTACTCGAATTTAAATTAAATTACGTTGCAAAATTGATAAAAGGAATTTATTCGCGATCTATCATGACGTTACTTTAATAATAAATTGCGATTATAAATATTTTTGATACATCTGAATATAACGCGTTGATTACCACCAACCAATGTGATCGTTGTCCAGCGCTGCGCGTTTAAAACGAAAGGATAACTGCGCGTCAATTACAATTTATGCGAGTTGTTGCTCAAAAATATTAGATTCGGTAAGAGCTCTAAAACATTAATTCTTCTAGTCAATTATTCGGCTAAATTGAAAGAAAAACAATTGGTCCTTGGTTAAGATCGAGAACTTGATTGGTCGATTCTACGAGAAAATATGAAACGTGGCTCGCAAAAAAACGGTCCGGTTACTCGAAAGATAAATTAGAAATGCTTTCGCTATTCCTTGCCTTTCCTGCACTCGTCAGATCCAATACCTTCCGAGGGAAAACTACTTTCCCTTCGTCTTTCCTTCTCCTCGAGTATTACCACTAAAAAAAACTCCAAATACTTCAGAGGATTATTAAATACTGTAATAATCATTAATTATTCGTTCATAATATTATTACAATTTATAATTATTATTAATTCATTACGAAATACTTTAATAATCCTCTTCTCATCGTTTTCGTGCGGAATGATTCGAAAGACAATTGTTCATTTTTATTTATTCGTTTATAAATACTTATAACGATTCGATCAATTATATCGTTGATATTATGTTCCAACCGAAATGCGGTTCAACACATCAATGACCAAACGCTACGAACCTATAGTTAGCTAAAAAGATATTATCTCGTGTCTTACTAGACACGGCTGTTTCTACTGTGGTAATCAACGCGCTAACTACTTTAACAAATACTACTTTTCATTGTTCGCTCCAAAAATATACGAAAAATGGCTCGAATGGGATAATCATACATTCTCCCACAGAAAGAGAAGTTTAGTAGCGTTGTTAACAGTGACAAAAATGTCGCACGGGTAGCATCGTAACGGCACTACTGCTACGAAATACCAAGTACACTCGACCGCCTTTGAAACCGGTATAAAAAAGTCAAGCGACAGGCCACTGGAACACGCTATTAAATAGGCCGAGCTACTACGAGGAAAACGATTAATCGCGGCAAAACCGTTTTTTCATTCTAAAAATTACTCGCATATCGAATGCGATCAATTGATTTTCTACAGCGTAATTCTAACATGGATAAACAAAAAGAAATTAGTCTTTCTTTCACCCTTCTTTTTTCATAACCTCAATCCTTCTTCGATACTACTTCAAAAGAACAAATATTCTCTAACCTTAAAACATCTATTTCTATTATTTCTATTTTAGACAAATAATGCTGTTAGCAAAGATATCAAGAATCAACGAATCAAAACTTTGATGTCGAAACAGTAAATATTAGCAAAAATAGGATCGCTTGTTTTTATTATGTTACTAGTTATGCATTATGAAAGATAGTAGTTCTATAAATTAATACAATTATAGAAATAATTTGTAAACGATTATTAATATCCGAAACGTTTATGAAATAAATATTTCAAATATTGCAAACGTACATATGAAATTCTGACCGTCTTTTGTATGCTGCTATTTCAAGACAAGCTTACGTCTTTACTTGCTGGTATTGTCTCTGTATTTTCAACAATGTTGCTGGACTTTATCCGATAAGACTGTCTTATGCACATTCTTTTATATTATATTATTTAATTATCATTGTAATAAATCTTATCTATAATTTCTGTGGTGGCTTAATAACAACAATGAAACGTATATTTTGAAAGAACTTTCATTCGTAGCTACGCAACCCTCTATTTACCTTCTCAAAGTATACGACTAACGAACAATTAACACTTGACAAAATAAGAAGCGAACGCTTCTAAACCAGATCCAAATTTTTTATATTCTATACACGCGTTGTTCCAAAGAACAAATTATCGGTTAACCGTCATAGAAAGTATACAATATTACTATGCGTTATTGTTTAAAACATAATTCTTTACAAATTGCTAATACAAATTTATCATAATATTTTCCTCTTAAATACACAATATTTCTTCAGAAATGAACACATCTGTTCCAATGTTTCGGTTAAATAGCATATAGGGTTGTAAACATGAAAAAGATAAGAAAAAAAATGTATCCGGTACACTTACTCTGTGGGTAGTACAGAGTTTAGGAAGGGTGGTACTGTTGGCAAAGTGGGTAGACACGATGCGATGGTGGAGAACCGCGGTAAGTTGTATCTGTGCGATGCACGAACATCAAACGACACAGAACTCATGTACTGACCGTCGTTTTTACCGCTCGTACACACGGGTGCAACCGTTCACGTACTACGAATTACGTACAATCATTTGAGAAAATCTAAAGCTACGTTACGCGTACATCCAAGTGATCGAGAATCGTATCATACATACGACACAATACGGTACAGCAAAGCAAGGCACGACACGACACGACACGACACGACACGACACGGCACGGCACGGCACGACACGACACGATATGACACGAAACAATACGTCACGGCAGGGTGAGAACACGATGCAACACGGTATACACGCTAAAAAAGTGATGAAGATCGTAAAACTAGAGGCACTACCTCGAGGAAGTAAGATTTTTCGAATACGTATGACGGCGGGGGCTACGGATTAATATGGCCGTCCCTCGTTGACACAAAGTTTCGAGTCACGCATAAAACGCGACTCTCGGAAAATACGAAAAACAGACTAATCTGAATATTGTTGGCAAGAGAAAAGCTTGTTCGTATACGACGCGCACGCATTTGTTTCACTCGCGGCACCACACACCACCCGTGATTCTATCTACCACTCACTTCCGTATCACCCTGTTGTATTCTCCACGCGCTCTCTGGCTTTTCTTCTTTCCTTCCTTCTTACCTCCGCTCTTCGATAAATAATTTGTCCATTTCTTTCTCTGTCCCATATGATTCCCTTTAACCCCGTACCGTACACGTTCCTTGCTTGATCTCCCTCTCTTCTTTCTCCTCTCTCCCGATCGTCGTTTTCCTCAAGCACTACGAGAGGGATCCTGCGAATACCGCACTCGCGTTTCAAATTACCAACAACTTTCTTGCTGTATCGTGTTCTCGTATTAACGCACCACGAGAACCGTGGAAACATTCGAATGATCGCGTTCCTTTCACGCTTTTCGCAGACGTAACGCGGCCTTGTTGCGAACGACGTCAACATCACCACCGTACGCTTTCATGGCGGCCATCTTTTCGGGATACGCGAACGCGAATCGCGAAACGGAAAACGCACACGCGTGTATATCTCGCACACCAACATACGCGTGCAACCGATCTTGTATGTATACGCAATGGCCGTCGTATGTGCTACCACTACCTACGCGTCGAGGACGGGGAGCGAGAGAGACACTTGCGCGGACGCATGCATATACCATTTAACCGTGCCAGCCTGGATATTTGGATACCGAACAGCAAACCAGACACCGGAGCGAAGAACGGGAAATGGTTGACGTTTCTCGTTTAACAGGGAAATGTGGCGCTGCTGTCTCTTCTCGTTTTCTATCTTCTTCTTATTCCCTCTTTCTATACAGCTAATACCAGCCTCTCGACCAATCACATCTTGATTCTCACTGTAACTGCTCTGAAAATCTAGGGATACTTCTAGTTCTTATTTTTGACTATGTTAGTTTTATAAAGTTCCGACTTCCTTTCTTCATATTCTGCGCGCAACTTTTGATCTTCTTTCTTCGTAACTTTAAATATAATAACTTTTCCGAATGTTTATTCATACTCGATACACCGTTTCGCACCGTACGTTTAGGCTCCGCAGGTAGGTACAGATAAAATCAATTCGAAATTCTTTTTGCAAACGTATCTATTTTCTTACAATACGATAGTTTTAGAAACATCTCGTATCTACAAATGGTATGTGTATCAAATATTCGTACAAAATTAGATCTTGGTGTACAAAGATTCGTTACAAATTCTCGGTATAATATATCCTGTCTTTAAAACGTACATGTAAAAATATGTTTGAATACATATTTTCTGTACAACTTTATATATTACATAAATATATGCAAACCAAATTCTTTTGCACTGACGCGCACGTTGAATGTACAAAAACGGCTAGGAATGGATTAGTTCTTCGTGTATTTATACCGTAAACATAATTCCGTGTATATTCTGATATGGCAGTACGTCCTGCGTATAAATCAATCGCTTGTTATTACACTACCCGTAATTTTATATAACCGGAAAAATTATAACTTTAAAACTTCTTGAACAGCAGCCACAATTTTCTGCGAGCTGATTCCATACTTCTCCAATAACGTAGACGGAGGACCAGAGCGTGGAACTTCCAATACAGCTAACTTTTTAACTACGACATTCTTTTCCGTAGCCAATGCTGAAAGAACCGCGTCTCCCAAGCCACCTTCCGCATAATGATCTTCGACGGTGACTACTTTTCCGCCAACTTCTTTAGCGTTCTTTACGATTAATTGAGAATCGAGTGGTTTGATCGTAAACGGATCGATCACTCGTACGTTTACTCCTACTTTAGACAATTCGTCCGCAGCTTTGCGCGCCTCGTACAAGGTTACACCAGCTCCGATCACGAGAACTTGATCTTTCGGGGTGGACTTAATTACCTTACCCTTGCCAACGGCAAACACTTCATCGTTTTTGTACAAAACTGCTGTAGCGGGACGAGAAGTACGTACGAAACAGATACCCTTGGTATTAGCCGCTAATTCGACAGCTCGCTCTGTTGAAACGGCATCGCTAGGGTAAAAAACAGTAGAACCAGGAATCGTACGGAACATGGCTATATCTTCTAGACCCATCTGCGACGGACCATCTTCACCGATGGAAACACCGCAATGAGATCCAACGAAATTAACGTTCGTTTGCGAAATGGCACCCATACGAATCTATAAAATTTATTAATATCGGTATACACATTAATCGAATAAAATTTACCAAGTAAATAATAAGTTTAGTGCCAAAATTTATTCGTCAATCTTTCTTCTAATGGAAGCGAAGATGCTTTTACCTGATCAAAGGCACGAGTGAAGAATGTGGCAAATGCAGACACAAATGCAACAGTTCGATCTCTGCAGGTTGCACCAATCGCAACTCCTACAAGGTTTTGTTCGGCGATAAAACCCTCGATAAATCTAGCTGGGTCAACGACCTTAATTTTTTCGGCAAACGTAGAATTTTTCGTGTCGCCGTCTAAAGCGATTACGCGAGGATTATTTTTTGCCAACTGAAACAAGACAAAATAAAGTATACGAGAACAATCGTGGATATTGTATGCTTGATTGTTCGTAAAAAAAAATACAAACCTTGGCTAAAGCAGTACCATAAGCCAATCGAGTAGCTACTTGCTCTCCTAATTTATAACTCGGCGGTGATGCTAATTTAATGTTACTAATATCGACTACCGGAGCGTCGTCAACTAACGGTTTCTGGGGATGCAATGCTAGAGGACCAGAATTTTTCAACATCCCAGTTAAGTGCTGCAATCAAATGACAAATTATAGGTCTTTTTTGCACAACATTCATTATTTTATGATGTGCGACATATTTTCGTTCTTACTTGAATCACTTCGTTTGCTTTATTACCAAGGGGTTTTCCATGCCAATTTTCTAAATCTTCGATATTAGGAAAGTACTTTCCTTTAAACGTTTTTGCTAGAATAGCAGTAGGACGTCCTTTTGTGTTTTGTGCTTCATGGAAAGCCTAATAACAAGAATTTTATTAAAAATCTTCTATGTTTACAACAAATTTCTATTTGTATATCTACAAACGTACTTTGGCCAATTCTTCAACGTCATGACCATCGACGACTAAAGCATTGAAACCGAAAGCTTCAAGTCTCTTACGATATACTTCCATGTTATGTTGAAGAGAAGTTGGCTCGCTTTGACCTAAACGATTTATGTCGAAAATTGCACATAGATTGTCCAACTTGTAATAAGATGAAAAATGAAGTGCTTCCCATATTGATCCTTCTGCTGCTTCTCCATCACCGACCAGACAATACACTCTAGATTACATAAACGAATGAGAATTTTGTTTATTTAAAACAATTTAAAATATAAATAATATATATACCGATAATTGGCTTTGTCGTAATTTTTGCCAACGTAGGCCATTCCTGCAGCAACCGACAAACCCTGTCCCAAAGACCCGGTTCCAACATCGACGAAATTCAATCTTGGAGTTGGATGTCCTTCTAAATCGCTATCGATCTTCCGCAAATTTAACAATTCACTTGCGGGGAATAGACCCGCCTCGGCCCATGCTACAAAAATACAAAAAAATTTTAGTATTATAAGATTTTATGATCTTTCGTAACGCGCGTTCAATTAAAATATGAACATTTAAAAAGAAATACCTGCATAAAGAATTGGAGCTGCATGACCTTTGCTCAGAACAAATCTGTCGCTGCTTGGATCACGCGGTGCTGATACTTTGTAGCGCATCGTGTGGAAAAATAAAACAGACATAATTTCTGCCATGGACGAACATGATGTAGGGTGTCTAAAAACCAAGTGGAAAACTTGTTTTATTTAAATAATATAGGTGATAATTAATTAATTTGAAAATATACAACAAATTGCATAATACAATAAAAACCGTGTGATTCTGTCTACACGTATATTTCACAATTATAATCGAAATGTTATCTTTAGAGGTCAAAAGGTCGATGATCTCGATCATACGATATCGAAAGTTGAAAACGGTCAAAATCGTAATCGTTATGTAATCTATAATCTATACGATTAATTGTAATTTTTGCCGGCAAACTTTACCGGCTAATGAAGTGAAATTTTCTGCATAAAACTTCTGCTATCTTACGCCAAAATCAAATATTTAACGAAAGTTACTTCAGCGCATTCGTTGGATAGCAAAATATTCATTAAAATATACACTGAAATGTTATTTAATAATAGGCGCAATAGACCTACGTAACAAATAAAATTCCTTTTCATTTTCAATTAAGCCTGCTCCTTATATAATTTGTATATGTACACGACTGAATTATTTAAATGCGATGCAAATCTCGTATCTGCTGATCGCATAAATTACCATGCGTGTTCATATATTTGGACATAATTAAAATATCACTGACCAGAATCGATGAATATTTATATTTGACGATCCAAACAACGAAATATTGCATGACATTCTTTTAGTTAAAATATTATTATTACGAAGTATTTGAACTAGAACCGTTAGACACGTTGAAAAAAATTTCTACCCTACAACACAATATAATGCGAAAGGTGATAGAGTATTCGTAACGTGAAAATAATTTAAATATCAGATATTTCCGAGATTTTGATCTTATATCCTACCCGCTTTTCGATGCTTCGGTAGCCTGAATAGACAATATGCGGAGTCTATTCGCAACGTCTTGAAGTTTTTCCATATTCGTATCGCGCACCATTCTCTATTATATGAATCCTCTTTCGGAAATCGTTTCGCGGCAAGCGTTCAATAACAACTGAAGAACTGAACGTTCCACGAGTAACTGCGCGCTGGATCTTCCCCCACTTTACTTTATCCAGACGTTGTACAACACACTTTAACGTGTTCATGTTTCATACGTGTGGAAACCTACTGGACTTCCTCCTGATATTATATACCACTACTACAATCGTCGCTATATTTTTACAGATCATACCGTGCTAAGAAAAAAATTGTACATTTACACAGCTAGTTAGATAATAGATACTTTATCACCAACAATTTCATAACAGATTTTAGAAATGCTGTATTCTAGTGGATTCATTTTTAAATTAACTCGTTATATTTTCGTTAGTATCGAAAAACTTGTTTCATTTTACAGATTTAAATTCAACCAGAGTAATGCTTGTTTAGAAAAGCTAACTTTTCTTTCATCGCATTCATTGTAAAAAAATGATTAATAATAGTTTCGACAAAAATGTTACCGTTCATATATCTATGTATACTTGATCATCCAGTCTTATCGTACGCACATTATGTAACGACTTTGTAGCGTGCATTAATCTAACGTGCACGTGGTAAACGCTATGTGAAAAATCTTATGAAAAAACATGTACATACTTATAGGCCTACTTTATTTTAAGTTTTGTTACGGCTTTATTTTTGTCTTAAATCCTAAAATTGTTATTGTAATTTTAATCGTTCATCAATATAGAATTTATCCTTAAATCACTGCTTTTAATAATCCCGAATATAACTCACGACAACAATTTAAAATCTAGTAACGAAATAAATTCAGACGAGTACATTTGGACAAATACTTGTTCCGATCAATAACAAATCCGCTGAAAAGGCGTAGATAGTATTTAAAATGTATTATTTGATGCATCATTTTTTCAGGTTAGAATGAGTAGAATATTAATGCACACGCGCGATAACCCTTCCATTATAGGTACTGATTAACGAGAAAGAACAATAATTATAAGTAATTATTTCGACGAAAAAAAATTTTCAATTTTCATAATAATATTATCCCGGTTGCTGTTAAATGCATAAGCATGAAATGCAATTATAATATTACCTTGAACTGTATGTTACGATATAACCGGTTAAAAAAGTGCTCCGTGTAGTATTAAATTGGTAAACGTTTTTAAAATCGGATTAACACCGTTAGTGTTCAACAAATTTTTGAGATTATAATACCTACGATGAAAAGAGAAGGAAGAAAAATATACCGGCACGGTTAATTATAGTCAAATAATTACACCCAAAAAGTAAAGCGAATGCATTTATGTCGCTAGAAGCGACATAACTTTCGCGCGCAATTTTACTAACTTTTGATACTTATTCGCAGATCATAGCATATTTCAGCACAACTAAATATATTATATATCGATGTATATTCATAGGAGGAAAAAATGTTAAATAAATGAATCATTGATCAATTTGCTATTACAAAGTATAATATTAGTGCACATACCCAGATTTGCTGGCTTGTGTTGCATTAATTGAATGAATTCTCAGCTTAGTGGCAATGTCTTTTAATTCCTGAATGGTTTTCGATTCTGGTTTATGGTAGTTCGCCATTTTTTTACGATGAAAATACAATGATCTTTTACAATTTTAATGGCTTGTTAAGGAAGCTTAAGAAAAATGCTGAACACGAGACGAGTTCTGGTGCAACAAGTAGAATTCGCGCAAGCACGATGTCAGCCACATATAGAGAGGGATACAGTGAATAATACTACGCTATCATTGTTTCTAGATGGCTCTGTTTTCGGATGTATCGCTATCTATGTCATAGATTATAGATTGTGTAGAACCGAACTCAATCGACATGCGGAGAAAGAACGAAACCTCGTCGTCCAATTACATTGTACCTTCACTTGGGGAACGAAGTATACGTAACCTTCCTTAAATAAAGTTTTTAAACTGCAATACTTGCATAACTTATTCGTCGATACAAGTAAGCGATTAACTTAATAATTTCAAACTATTATATTATTTAGGAAACTTAATAACTAACGTTCATATTTTTTATTCCATATATAAATGTGCATTTTGAAAATAATATCGAAGCGCTTTCTGGTGGCCAACGTAGGTAGTGCTATTATTTTCCGAACGCGCATTAATACAAAAGTAAAACTTGGCAGCACAATCCTTTCAATTTAATAAATAAATTATAAATAAATTAATATTAATATTTTAGTCACGAATGTAATCTTTAAGACAAAAGATGGTGATTAATTCAATCGAATTGTGAAAATTATCTTAATAACAAATTTATTTTACGCTTAGGAACAGGATTCATGGTGTTGTATTTATATTACTGGTATCCAAATATTTACGGTTTAGTATACAACCAATAATAAACTATAGAAATACATGTTAGTATTAAAATACCAAAAATAATCTTGATTCACAAAAATTTATATTATAAGTACAACCAAATTACAAGTTATGCTGCAAAATGAACATCTATGAGATTGATCCCTCACTGCAGTGATTACTTCTAATAAAACAATTACTTTTAAGGGATTTGTAATAACGTTATTTTCCCAAAATTAAAAAAAGAAAATATTCGCAGTAAGGGATATGATTAAGCAATATTAATAATTGCATTCATAAAAATATTTGTATACTATTACCATTGATTTGTAAGAATAAATTACTGTAATAAACAATTAAACGCTGTATTGTAACTAATTCTAGAATTATACTTTATCGACTCATACGTATATACATTTTAGCGATACGTTATTCTCGTAACGAAATCCGTACTTTAATACTCAGTACGATCGTTATCGACGACAGTTCAACAATATCGTACTTAATTATTCGCACTCTTTGTTTTTCAATTAGTTTTCGTCCAATTAGCTTTATTCTAGTCTTATAATTAAGCTTTCGAACAAATACTTAGCAGTACGTAACTGTGCGAAATTCGCGATTCGATTGATCAATTCTATTATGAAACCTAAGAGTATCTCTATTCCATCTGGCAGAGTAACAGGTAACGTGAAAGTTAGATACCAATGTAGTTCATTTTTTTCAACAACCGCCAAAATTTGCCAAACTTATTGAAATAAAGTCTTTCATTTTAATACACTTATATAAACATAAGTATAGTTAATATGTATAAGCTTTAATCGTATATATATGTATATATATATATATACGATATACACTTACATATTTATGTATACTTATTATACATATGCATAACGTGCAATTGGTTCCCATATTTCTTTGAATTTCATATACATATATATTATGCGTGTCGATATGATAATTTAAATTATCAGTAGCTTTATCACATATAGTTTGTTCTATATACAGTAACTTTTCACGTACATCTGGAATGTCTATATGCGGTGACAGTAACATAAGGATCACGTTTCGACGGAAAACATTTCAATTCCGGAACATTTATTTATTACGCTACATTATTCTCATAATAAATTGGATCTATCGAATATTTTTGCACCTTATACACAATTTCCTTTTTCCCTGTTTTATATCAAATTTGTAGGATTTTAAATTCGATCGCGTTCAAAGCTTATACGATTTTAGTTCTGTTCGAACGTACCGCTTTTAGTCAATTTCGTTTACGTTTAAAGTTTCGTTTACACATATGTGACTCGTCACATTTTTACCTTCATATGTATTTCGTCCAAGTCAATTTCTAAATATAAATTATGTAAATTAATATTTCCTGTTATAAATTTTAATAAATGACACTCAAAATATTATGTTTTTTTTAAAGAAACGTAAAAAGTATTTACAACTTTATGCGTTATTTATGAACCTACTATGCAACAATGTAATGGATCTATATATTCCTAAAACCTTAACTCTTTTTCTTGAATAAATTCGTCTATTTCAGCATCGGTAAAAAAGAGGATGAGATTGCGCAATTTTATTCTATTATTTTGCACCTGTTGTTATCGTATACCAACTACTTTCGTGTTCCCGTGTGTATTGCTGATACAACTGTTTTAATACTTTATCTTCATAAAACTGAAAATTATCGACCTTTGACTCCATACTATCAATTACTACTAATCCTTGTAATTTGCAACGAGTAATCAATATGTATAATGCAAAGTATTTCACAGCTAAATAATCGCAATTTTTGCCCGTCCATTTTCAACCAAATCGAACAATAATCGATAACTAACTATTTACTTTTGATACATCCGTTCTTTTAAGATTTAAAACAACACGGAGAACATTACATACAAAAAAATCAATTACACAGTAACATAGTATAAAATAAATCTAATATGTTTCTAAATCGATAAGAAAAAGCAAATTTATTACAAAACAAACTCATTTAAAAGCTATAATTATGAACAAATTAAGAGGTGATAATAAATATGCGAGCATATGAAGTTCCAAATGAGAATAAATAATGACAGATGTATGCTTAATACAATCAATTCAATTATTATACAGTAAACAATTACGTATAAAGGAATTTTTTAGGCATGCGCTTTGAATTTTTGTTTACAATATCATGACTGTATGTGAATAAATGGTGCTTAATGTTTTGACGATAGTTGTACTTCTTTTTATAAAATATAACGTTATTCCCCTAAAAAATATTACCTTATATTAGAAAGAATCGAAATTAGGGAAAAAAACTGCTTTTCGTAAAAAACATTAATTCGATAAGAAATGACTAAAAGATTGTAACAGCAGTGTGCAATAGGTGTCAGGTACTTTTTGGAATCGATGTTTTACTCAGTGTCAAAGCTTTAAAGTCATTGTAAGTATACTAAAAGGTTGTTTATTGTTTTCGTGTTATAACGTTAATATCACATACAAGTACACTTTAAAGCTTTTAAAGAAAAGTCCTGTAACTGAGCATTTGATTGCCGTGCTTCGTCAACACGTTCCAAACATTTCCTAACATCCATATTGCTAATATCTATTTGTGGTAACGTAAAAAAATGCTATATAAACACGAGCAATTCTCAGTACAAAGACCTGATTATGATCTAAAAACTGCTCTATACAGTTGAAAGATTTCACACTGCTTTTTCCAGTTTTCCTCATGCCATAGAAATTGTAACATTAATTCCTAAATTCCCATTATCGGCAAATAGTTGCGCGATAGAGGTGTCAAATACAAGGCAGTCTGAATTTAAAATTGCAGATGAAACGCCCTCATGAATAGAACGTGGCATAGCCTCCCATGTTAAGCGTCTTTTATGCCCATTCAATTCTAGTCTGTCGAGCATAAGTATTTACGTTAAATTTGATCCCACTTTCTTATCATAGAGTATATATTTACCTGTACGCAAAATTTTCTGCCTGTTTTCTCGAACCGATCAATTGAACAATTGCAAAAAATTGTTGATGTCCATCATATTTTTCTTGTTTTTCAAGTACTAACATGAAGTGATGACCAAAACAAGACTGCATCATTACCCAATCCACTGCACCAGGAAGATTAATATCAGTTGCTAAAAAAACAATATCTTCCCCTGCAATATAAACAATGTGTTATTTTACTAATTAGAAGAGATACAATTACATGAACTACTTAACAAAACTACCTTGAAGAGTTGTAATACTTTTGTGACTCATAACTAGATGTGGCATTACTTGCTCGAGGGATCCTTGCCATTTGCAAGAAGCACCTGGACAAGGACAACTGTATGGACGGAATTCACATGCATCTTCATGATCTGCCTTTTCGGTATGCACTAAAGAAACAGTGCATCCACTTGTCGAATATTTGCAAGGAAACATTACATTACCCGCCACTTTTTCCATAGCCAAGTTACGAATATTACCTATGTTGAATTAACATGTCAAAATGATATACAAAATAAAATGTTTACAATTTGTTATGATACAATTGAATTTATAGTATGTGGCACAAAAAAACAACAGGCTTTTTATTTTTTGTAGATTAACATCCAATATATTGAATTACGTACCTAATGGACCTCTACACGTAGGACAACAATTAAGCTTTGGTCGGCAATTGCTACAAACAAGGTGTCCGCTTTGACATTGTAAAATTGGTGGAAGAACATAATCAAAACAAACTGGACATTCAAAGAGGCTTGCTAAGTCAGTTGAGCTGCTCAAAGATGACACAGTAGATGCAGAAGAGCTTGCAACACTCCTCCCTCTCTTTCCTGTACTGATACTTAATTGGGACATCTTTCCTTTTTGTTCTATGTTTTAAAGAAGAAGTCACTTTGCTGTTTTGACGACAAAGAAGGTCTGGTTAACTCGAAGATGTCTAATAAATGCGATACATTCTGGAATGAATCATCCACCTCATCATATCTGTAAATTATTATAATTTCTATGATGTCATAAAGTACTTTGTATATACAATTTAATGCTATAGAATATTTAATGTGCAAAGAATTTTTTTACACTGAGCAACTATACCTTTGTAATGTATGAAATTGATTTGAATACGTTTAAAAGATATTAATTATATACATATATCTAACGATCTTGTCATGGATACACTATGAAATGATCACACATAAATATAGTTTAGAAAATTGCAAAAACAGATTGTATCTGGTCAAATTCTCATCTTGGTTTACCTGTGCTAGTTAACAAATTTTTGTTATGACTATTTCAAATGATTTTATGTGTTTACATATTAATAGAACAATATATAACTCTTGTGTGTACTTTCAATTTTCAGTTATCTCGATAATTTTATATGGATACAATATTATTAGTTTACTATCATGAACGGATAATTCGTGTTTTTTTAATAAATTAAATAAATAAGTAAAAACATAAAAATACAGAACAATTCTTCTGAGCTGTAACACCAGCAAATACTTAATAGAAAATCTAATTATTTTGCAATTAATTTCTAAAAAAACTCTTACAAGAAAAAATGTTGTTCGTGATTTTGTATGGATAAAATGACACAAATAACGAAGATTATATATGTTACATTGATCGTACGACCATTCATCAGAAGCGCATCAATTATCATTATTTCTCAACAAATTTTCCTCGAAAAACTCGACATATTTAAGAAGAAATGTACTGTTGGATCGTTCATGCTAAATAACAAATGAAAAAAAAGAGAAAATAAAAGAAAAAAGAAAATACAGCGAGTGAGGAAAAGATAGTATAAAATAATGTCATGAAACAAATCACGAGTCACATCGCGACGAACGAACGATCAACATATAAACAATGCATGAGAAAAAAAGAGAGCGAACGATTCTCTCGTGGAAAATTCCATTTAATAAACATGAGAAGAATATATAAGGTTACAACATTAAATAAAGCATGTATATAAACTTACCGGAATTAGGATTGACAAAAATATTAGTGTGTCATTCGATGCATATGACAGTTTTCGCGCGATTCAAATTGGGAAATAGTCAAAAGTATAAGAGAGGGAGAGAGAGAAAAGGCACTTGAGAACGGTGACAACAGAGATACGACCGAGAATGAAAATATCGAGAATAACGACAGAAGATGACACCACGATAGACAAACGTTGTTACAAAAACAGCAACAACAGGAGATTTCATGCGACTTGACTTCGAAAATGTTGCACGAAATGCTCCCGATACTCCTCGGTACATCGATGAGGAATAAACGCGAACGCGATGAAATCGACTGTGGGAGAGGCTACATCGCGAATTCTCTTGGCCAAGAAGGCAACATTAATTGTAACGTGACTTTTGATAGTTTTCGCTGAGACATAGTAGCAATTCGCTCCTTTTCGAACGTCCAACACTTGCAGCTCGTTCTGTACAATACGACGCACAGCAAGATGATGACACTGCAGCTGTCTATCCGACTGTACGTACACCCGTCCGTTTACACCCATGCAATGCATGCAACTGCCATTAACGAGCATTAGGTCCCATTTCTAACGCATTTTAAGATAGCTTCAAACTCATTTTCATCACGACGATAGAAATCGAAAATATATATATATATATTTTCCACGTTTAAATATTTTTATGAATTCGTATTTACTAATTATATAAAAACATACTACAAATATGCTCGATAATTTCGATGTCCTGACTTATCCTTGTTATCATAGTTTCCATATTAATTACGTTCATTAATGTGCGAAATTAATTAACTATATAATTTAAAAAAAAATTTATTAATGGAAAATATAAAATAAAATTATTATTTCTACTAATAAAGAATTTTACTGGAAATAACTTATGACTGAAAAATTAACTCATTATTATCGAATTCGTTTGGACGCGACACAATTTTTCATATTAATTTAGTGAAATAAATATATATAAAAATTACAAAACTGAAAATTTCTGTTAAAATACTAAGGGGAAACAAAATAATAGTGTTAGTCATAGTTACAATTAAAATTTACCAAATTCTCTTTTATTTAATGTATCTTGATCTAGGACATGAAAGTTTTAATATAAACGAATATTTTTTTTATAATGTAAATATGCATCTTACACACACATATATTTTTACATACATAGATTTCTATTTCTTTCCAAGTTAAAAAAAGAATGTTACAAAGTGCTTTTCAAGTAATGAATATTTTATTTTTTGTTATAATTAAAATATACACTGTGTCATGGGTGAAACAGGCGAATAGTAATCAATAGTAACAAAATATTTGTGTTATTTCCTTTAATTTCACAATCTGTTCTTTTTTTTTTCTTCATATATATATATACAGATATATATATGTATATATATTTTCCACACGCAGCAAATATGGTATACACAGTATACAGATTTAACTTCAAAAGCACAATTAGCTTGGCTTAAAATCTCTTTTAAGAGAATGATTTATTTTCTGTTCGCACACAATATCATGAAATATATTTAAGCCAAACTTCCAATACTTTTGTAACATCTGAGAGAAACTCGAATGTTTAAAGCCTTATCAGCCTTGCGTGTAATACAATTTCGATGTACTTATAGATAGTTCCATAATACCATATCTACATTTGCTATAATGCTGTCATTTCCAAAGAATTTTGTCCAGATAACCACAAGATCTATTAGCTGTCAAATTTTCTACAATTTCATATCATATCAAATGATATTCTATTTGTTAACAGTCTTCTTGCGATATGAAGAGCAGTCTTTGTACACCAGACAGGAACTGCTGTACGATGCAAATGCAAAAGAAGGTCATAATAGTCTAAATTACAATGATTTATATTTTCACTTTAAACATTCTGTTGATTCAGTGCATACAAAACATTTGTTTCAATGTAATAAACCATGATCATCTTTGCCATATTTTTATATATCTTCCACATAACACAGGAGTACACGAGTGTAACGCTTTAGAATGAATCGCTTCATCGCGTAAATCAAGTTTGTTAAACCGTAACAATCGTTGCAATATGAATACAGGAAAAGAGAAAAACGGCATTAAAGGCGTAATAATAAAACTATAAAATCATGATGATGATACTTTTGCGTAAATTACAGCATACTTATTGCTCTTTTTATACAACTCTCAGATATTTTAGAATATTTTGTAACCATCTTCTACCACTCGCGCACTCTTCGCGTATCTACCCAGGACGTTCATATTTTAATTATATTCATTTTCAAATATTTTTATCTTTCTCTTAATTTCTACTTTATTTATATACTAATCCGCACACGTGTACAATACTTATGTGTACACGTATATACATATAACATACGAAGATGCGTATGTATCCTATGGTACCTTACAACTCATATAAGTTACAAGACTTAGTTTAGATTATAAACAAATAGATGATAATAGATAATACGTATAGGTTATAAATTTACGAGGAAGAAGTATGTTTAATTAGGAGTACGAACCATTGGTCCATGAATGGTATTTTATTTTATATCTATCGATTACCTCTAACCGACGAGTGCTTTCCGAACTGAAATTGTTTATCGACATAACGTCCTATTGTATAAACGACACAGTGTTGCATTTCTCGTAATAACACCAAGCATATAATGAACAATACTTTAGTAATGCAACTTAAGATACTAAAGAATAATTAGAGTATTAAATTATAAGATATACATGTTAGTATTATGAATCATGAATAACAAGAAAAATAGGAGTAAATCAATTATTCACTTTTTACTTTATCTATGGCTTATACGTAAGATAAAGGCTGCTGTACGTATGAAAAATTTAATTTCAATAGAGTAGTCTCTTAATTTAATAGTTTTCATTTTAATAGTCACGTTAATGATCATATCGTGTGATAAACGATAAAATGTGCACGGACAGAAAAGGACATGATTTTTCTTTTGACTGGTTAGATTACACCAATTGCGTACGACTGAAAAATTCATTTGTTTTTTAACAAATGTACATAGACTATCTAGTATTTTACAGACTCGACGTACAAAGATCAGAGAATTTGGGGCTTTAGTAGGAGTTTGACACGAGACCCCGGAAGTTTGCGTATCCCAATTTTCTCTATCTCAGTCTCAGACTGCATTCAAATAAAGTTGGTCTACTCCTTACTATATTCTTGCCGTATCACCAAGTTCTGAGTACGTAAGATTTATACACCCTTCTCTTTAATATGGTTGATGTCTTTGAAACTGACGTGGTCCCTGACCATTTCCTCTCGGCTTACCTTGAGCCCCGTATCCCATGTTATCGTATCCATCATAACCAGCGTAATCATAGTTCGCGTACATGTCATCGTATCCTCCTTGATAACCGTTACAATATTCAGGAATGTAGCCATAACCTCCACCATATCCATATCCATAGCCTGGACCCCAAAATCCTTGATTCCTTGGATCCGGATTAACTTTGACTTTTTTGACATCCACTTCTTTTCCATTTATCGTTTGTTTGGGCGTTTTCAGTAGCTTATATACAACTTCTTTCGAGTCAAAAGTTATGAAGCAAAATCCCTTTCTCTGGTTCTTTACCTTATCAAACGGAGCTTGTAATTCAACGATGGTACCGTATTGTCCAAAATATGATTTGATATCTTCGTCAGTGATTTCGGGAGTAAGGCCACCTACAAAAATTTTACCATGCTGGGGCTTTTTACTCACCCGTTTTGGATCCACCTAAGCCAAAATAAGATGATTGCGTGTTAAACATGAAAATTGTGAGGGATAAGCAAAAAAAAGTAAGTTAAACGATAGGCGTTCGATTTTGAATTTAGTAATAAAATAAGACGAACCTTTCGTTTGTTGATATAATGCTCGCCAGACGCCAAAAGTTTGTCAATAGTTTTAGGATTGGTAAAAACCATAAACGCGAAACCTCGCGAAATACCAGTATATGGATCGATTTTAACGGAAATACTCTCGATCTCTCCAAATTTGCCAAAATGATCTCGCAATTCCTTGTCCGTGGTATTACGCGATAAACCGCCAACGAAAAGTTTGCGTTCATCGTCCTTGCCTGGAATTCCGGCGGTAGCTTGTTGCTGTTGAGGCTGGTGTTGCTGTGATTGTTGTTGCTGTTGAGTTTGTGACTGTTGGCCGGTACCTTCGTTCTGGGCTTGATTCTGGTAACAGTCTACCGCCGCCATCGCGTAACGTTTAGAGCTTACCACGTTAAAATCACAGTAGAAAATACAAAGAGGATTGGTCGAACCGACGAGATCGGTAAAAGCAACGGTGTACTGCGCACGAGAGTAATTTCAGGGCAGTTGGCACGCGTCACAGTCGGTTCTTATGGTGAACCGGTGCCGGCTTATGACCGAAAGAAAGAGAGTCAGCAACAGTTTCCGATTCCCTCTGAGCCTCTATTAACATCACGCTATTCGTTCTTTCTAGTGAGACGCAATTCGTGTCTCCAATCACAACGATAGATCCAACAGACGACGCCGGAAATTCCAGTTTATTTCCGGTGATCGTTTCATTACTAACTATAATGAATTTTTTAATAAGACGACAAATTAACGCGTTCACGTATTCGTTTGGTATTTAAATTTACGGGTTATTTTTTGAACGCTCCCTTATTCGCGTAATAAACGATTATGAAAAGTCCTTGAAAATCGTTGAACATGAACAATACGCGAATACCTTTGTTCGTAACGGTGGGACGGTGAGATCCAAATCTCGCGTTCATTGAAGATCTTATATGTATTTCTAATTCGTTTCACAGCATCGACGCTGTAACGTTACTCGTACACGAATGACCTTTTTCTTTGTTCTTTGCATAACAATCGATTTAGGTTAGGTTAACGTTCGAGTTGTCAAAATGAAAAGATCGAAGATTTAAAGAGGATACCGTCGCCACGGCGTATCCGTAGATTATCGTGATACGCATAATCAAAAATCATTGCTACGTATACGATCGAAATCGCGTCATACATCATTGAGGTGCGATAAACGAACCGATCGCAATGTAGCAACGTAAACGGTTTAATTAGATAGTTTCGGTAAGCGTTGTGCTCGATTGTTCGTATTTGCACACGAAATGAACGGAAAAGCGTAGAACTACTCGAAACGAAATAGTTACAAGTAAATTCACGATAGAATACGAATGTCGTGTGTTAATTGCACGAGGAGATTGCGTGTTGGGTCATTTAATCGAGAACTTTCAATCGTAAAAGTTGAAAAATGACTTATTTTAAATATTTTCTTAGAAATTCGAAGGCACGTGCTGTTCTTACTTATTTTTGCACTGTTTAAAGTCGTTGCTTTCTCGGTACATATATAAATATAGTCAGACAGAGAAGGTTGTATAAATAAAACACAGGCCCTCGGCAACCCCGGCTTATCTTTTCTTCGGTCGAACAGTTTAAGAATAGAATAAGGTTCAACGGGTAGACTGACGTGTTGTTAATAATAGAGCACACTCACTTATACCTATAAAAAAGTATAGTACAAATGTTCTCATGCAGAATTTGTTACTATAA